TGAGGGTTTTCCAACCCTTTCCCCACAACCATGCCGCTTTCCACCTGGGTAATCTCATCAGTGCCCCAAGCAGTGAGGTATCCTCTCAGGCAATCCTACCATTATATCCAAATGTGGGGTTTCTACTCTAACCCACCAAATGTGAAGATTTCCACAGTGCTGATTACAGTTACCAAGAGTGAAGGCTTTTCCTGCTTCCCACCTCTGCCACCATGGAAGGACTTCCTTCTGTCCCACCGGTGTGACACTAACTGTGCAGATTGTCTAAATGCCCTCTAGGTACCTATGAGGATTTATGCAACTTCTGTTTTCAGTGGATAACACACCTCTCTATTCAGTGCTGCCACCAACAACACCTTGTCTGAATCTCGCTTTTCATATAGGTAGTATTCCTGGATGCCCAAAAGTGTATAAATTATTTGTTACATTTCAAATACTACACACTTTCTCATACATCTCTCTACCTAACTCAGAGCTGGAAAAGACTGGCTCTAAACACTGGCTTCCTGGTGGCTTGAGGCATGGCATTTTGATGCTGCATGCCCCCAAGACATTGTGAAACCATCTTGCCGCCCAGATGTGGGCTGGTTTCTAGGTGCTCTGGTGGCATGAAGTTTACACACTGCACACAGCCAGAGGGCTGTAAAGCCAGTTTCTGTCCATGGCAGGATGGGGAAAGCCAGCTTTTTGCCCGCTCAGAAAAGAGTGGCTCTCTGCCACTCCTTTATCAGCCTGCAAAAAGGTGGATTGGGACCATGAGGTTACTGTGGCCCCAGTCCGGCTTCAATGGGGATAGCTTAAAGCCGCCCCTTGGGGTGGTCTGTTTCACCCCTCAGACCCTTTAAAAACCTTCACTGATTCCTAAACTGACTCTTTACCCTAAATATTCCACACTCTTTCACACAGTACACACAGTTCAACCATACCCCGCACCAATCCCAATATAAACTCCTGTCTCTCATACCAACCTCAGTCTCTAACTCAAAAAGCCCTTCTCTAACTACACTCCCAACTGTGATTCACCAGTCTTATGCAAATCTCTGCAAACATTCTACCAATCAGCATTTACTTAAATATTCTTTTCTCTCCTTCCTCCCAACAGCTTCTTACTTCACAAGGGGTATTGTAAAGTTTTAATTATCACTTTAAAAAAATTGCCAGAAAATTTGTTTTGATTTGTAGTTGTTAACTTATCTCTATGTAGTCACCATCCAGATTTACACATTTCCCCCAGAGTTTCTTGGCCCTCTGAATACCATTATGGTAGAAGTCTGCAGATTGAGCCTTAAACCACTCTTCCACTTCATGAATGATGTCATCTGTGTTGTCAGATCAGTGACCCCGCAATGGATTTTTCATTTTTGGGAAAGGAAAAAATCACTTGGTGGTGATGACACTGACAAAACTTCATCAATATAACTTAATAACTTATGGGTGATAATTATTACTTTATGATACCCCCTCGTGTATTCTATAGTTTGTTAACTTCTGTCAAGTTGACTTAGACTTATTGCGATCCTATGAATGAGAGATCTTCAAGTCACCCTATCATCACCAGCCCTTCAGGTTTTGCAGAGTCAGGGCTGTGGCTTCCTTGATTGAGTCTATTCATCTGGAATGAGATCTTCCTCTTTTCCTACTGCCTTGTACCTATGCAGCTTTCCTCCTTTTTTTTGCTGCCCTCAACCTTTCCTAGCATTGTTGTCTTTTCCAGTGAGTTGTGTCTTCTCATTATGTAGCCAAAGTATGACAGCCTCAGTTTCCTCAGCTTGGCTTTCAGGGACAGCTCAGGCCTGATCTGATCTAGTACTCATTTGTTTGACTTTCTGGCTATCCACGGTCCCCTCAGCATTCTCCTCTAGCACCATATTTCAAATGAGTTGATTTTCTTTCTATCTGCTTTCTTCTCTGTCCATCTCTTTCATCCATACAATGTGGTGGAGAATATAATGCCATGGATTATCCTTACTTTAGTGTTCAGCTTTATATCTTTGCACTTTTAAGATTTGTCCAGTTCTTTCATAGCTGCCCTTTCCCTTTCTTAGGGATTGGAATATATATCAAGCATTTCCAGTCTGTGGGACATTGTTTTGTTTTCCATATTTGTTGACAGATTTTGGTTAGAAACTAGGCTAGATTCTGTCCCTGTAGCTAGAAGAAGCTCTATTGGTATACTATAAATTCCTGGTGATTTATTTCTCCCAAGTGCTCTGAGTGCAGCTTCCACCTCAGTTTCTAAAATTGTAGGTTCATTTTCAAATGTTTTTTCCATTGAATAAATCTGTCATCCTTTCATCTCTTTTATATAGTTCTTCAGTGTATTGTTTCCATCGTCTTTTATTTTTACTTGATCATGTAATATGTTTCCCTACTGGTCATAGAGAATCCTCATTCTTGGTTTAAATTTCCCTTTGATTTCTCAGGTCTTGTGGAAGAGATATCTTGTTCCTCTTTTGTTGTTGTTGTCATATTCTATTTCTCTGCTCTTAGCAGTTCTATTATATATCTATCTATCTATCTATCTATCTATCTATCTATCTATCTATCTATCTATCTCAGTTCTGTTACACCATTTCCCTGTGCACAGGTCATTGAACAGTTGAATTCAGGGTTCTGAATCTATTCCTGTCCCCCTTTACTTTTGCTTTTCATCTGTCCTTAACTGCTTAGAGAGTCCATATGTCATCCATTTAAGTTTCTCTCTGTTTTTGACTGCAAATAGTGTCTTTTTGCATTCCTCCCTGACAACGTCCCTGGCTCTAGTCCAGAGTTCTTCTGGTTCCTGGACATTTAGGCTTAATATTATAAATCTTTTTTGTTTCTTACATTATCTTTAAGTTCTATGAAGATGTTCTTCAGGTTGTATTTTGGCATGATGGTTGGTTTAGTGTTTTTCTTTCGCTTTAGCTTTTGGTATCAGCATTTTCTGATTGGTGTCACAATCTGTCCCAGTCTTGTTTTTTCATAGAGAATGAAGCTTCTCCATCTTCTGTTTCCAATTTTGTTGTCTATTTGATTTTTATATTGTTCATGAGATATCCATGTATAAAGTCTTCTCTTTGGTTGCTCAAAGAATGTGTTTGTGATTAACAAACTGTTGACCTCACAAAATCCAATCAGTCACTCTTGAGCAAGGGCCAAATTTTCCTTTGATTTTGTTCTGTTTCTTACTTTTGTCTTCCGATTGCCTATGATTACCAACATGTCCTGTTTAAGTGTGTGATCAGTTTACTCCTGGTCTCCAGCATGGAATCTTCTCCATTTCTTCTCCTTCTGCCTCTGTTGTTGGAGGATAAACTTTGATTATGGTTATACTGATAGGTTGTCCCTGAAATTTTAATAATATGATTTGGTCAGACTTTGCATTATATCTTTTGATTGCTTTGGCTACATCTCTCCTCACTATTAATGCTCCCTCATTTCTTCTTTGATTTTCATTTCCAGAGTAAAGCACTTTGCAATTATCTGACTCAAAATGTCCCATTCTTGTCCTCTTTAACTCACTCACCCCAAGTATCACAACATTTATATGATTCATGCTTCTGATTCCATGTTCCTATAATATCTGTTATGCAGCTTTGGACTTTCCTTTTACTTCTGAGCACATCAACAGCTGAGTCCTTTCAGCTTGAGTCCAACTGCATCTTTAGCCACAGTGTGTCTTTTTATTTGTTCTCTGTTGTACCCCAATAGCTCATTGAGTGCCATCTGATCTGGGAGTTTCATCTTCTGGCACTATCTTTTGTTCCATTTTGGATTGCATCACCATAGGATCTTCATGTTAAAAGGCATTCAAGAAGTGTTTACTGTGGCTCCTTCTGAAGGGCACTAATATGTGTTAGCTAAGTTGCCACAGTCATTGTCTGAAAGGTCCAGTATTACCATCACCCCACTACTTCTGCTGCCCAGTAGCTGTTTTGCTCATTTAGTCTGGCTCCTCAGCAAAAGCTTGTCTGACATGAGGAGAGACCCCACCAGCAACAGTGTTATCTTGCTTCACAGGAGCATTCAATCCCACCACTGCAGAAAGGTAGTGCCATAGGTGGAAGAAACTATACAACCAATAAATTAAATGATATTTCTTAACATGAGTCCATGACATCAGTGTCTTCTTCCATACCTAAGGCAGCAACCTAGCTTAAGACTTTCAAGACTGGTAATGTGGCATATGCAGCTTTGTCTTTTAGCAGAAGGGAACAATTGGGGCGTTCATGAGGAAAGGAACATGTAGGAAACTCTGACTGCTGCCTCCTACAACTGCTGCCTCAAGCAGCTACCTTACTGTGCCTAATCACAGGAGTCCTCCATGCCAAGAGGATTTGTCTTTGCAGGAGAAAGGGAAAAGTCACTAACAGAAAGTCAATAGGGGCAACTGGGTTGGCAGAAAACCAGTTCAATAGCACTACCAGCATATTGGATCTAGCAACACAAGAGGGACATGTCAGAGTTTTGTTTCAAAGCAAAAAATGAGTCAATACACCAAATATCAAATTAGACCATATGTTTAGCCTCTCTCCCTTTTTGAAACATAAGGACTTTGTCAACTGGTGAAAGACACCTGCTTGTATCCTGCAGAATCACAATATAATTACTCTAGTGTGGGACAATGAGACAATGTGAAAAAGTGAATCCAGGCTTGAATCTGAAATTTAATAGCGTTATCTAAAGTGCTGAATCTTTTTCAGGGGTTAGGTCAGCACCTTGGACAACCCTTTTAGTTGGGCTAAAACACAGAGAAGATTGCTCAGTTGACTGACACTAAAGCCTCCCACTATCTCTAATATGTTGCATTTAGTGGCTTTTATTTTGTGATTGGTCATTGGAAGGTACCTGTCTAATTCTTGTTTTGTGCCTTCAAGACATTTCTGGCTCATGACGACCCTAAGCCAGTGAACCTATCATGGGGGTTTCCTAGTAAGTTTCTTCATAGGGGCTTTGCTATTGCCATCCTCTGAGGCTGTGAGAGTGTGACTTGCTCAAGATCATAAAGTGAGTTTACATGGCTGAGCATGGATTTGAAGCCCGGCCTCCAGAGTTTTAGTCCAGTGCCGAAACCACTACACCACACTGGCTTCTTCCTGTGTGATTATCTTTGAGAAAACCCATGGTGGGAGGTGAAATGGGTTAATCACAGGGAACAACATCTTAATGTCTAGTGTGACCTCCATTGTAGCTTAATAAAAAACTTCTGTTGGTCTTTTTGAGCAACACACATCCATTTCCAACACAGAGGTTCTTTGGAATTGATTTAATCATTTACAACAATTGAAATCCAAGTTGTATTTACATTTGACCCATATAAGAACTTATAAGAAGAATGCCTATTTCTCTGTTTCTAGAGAAAATACAGCAAAACTCATAATGAGTGTGATCCAGTTAAAACTGAACACTTTTTAAAGCCCATTGATTTCAGTAGCAGAGAATTAGGAATGTACTTATCGCAGCAGCATCACCACCATTGAAATCAATGGTAGCATCCAATAAATATACAAGCTCTTTGTTCAAAATAATAAGCTGCCCTAATTCTACCAGCAAGGATCTCAACAAATTGTGTTGTTCATGTAGCTACATAAATAAATATCAGATTTTAAAAAGCCCTATCAATTTATGCAGAGGTTTGTATTTAAACTCCTGTATAACAAAAATGTGATGCTAATTTGTGCTACAAAGAACATGAAAAGCAGGGCAAGGAATGAAAAACAGCTTGAGGCCAGAAACAAGGGCTTTCCTCCTTACTTCTTTTTCTCACCTGAAGAGCAATCTGTTCCATACATCCCTACCTCTGTTATAAGCTTTTCTGATTGGATAGCTACCAAATCTACTGGTGGCTGTGCTACCAACAAAACTATAATACAATATTTAAACTCAAATTGAAGCAGAAATATTGTGTTTTCTGAGTTTTCTGAAATATAGTAGCAGCAGGCAGCCTTTTACTCTTTTGCCCCTTGCCAAGCTAACTTGGAAGAACAGCTTCAGATGTTAAGAGGCCTATAGACAGTCCTGATGACTGCTTATGACAACAGCATCTTCTTTCTCAGGCAGACACTCTCCATTTTGTACCTACAATTCTCTTCTGGTACATATCTGTAAGGTGTGCCCAGGGATACAAAGTAATCTCCCACTAGCCACATGCAAGAAAACACTGGAAAAATTGTTTAATATCACATGCACACAAATACATTTTGCCAGTGTGAACAACAATTTTCTGGGAGCATTGCAGGCCACGGTTAGTGACTAATCCGTGCTTCTAGTCACTTTTGTTTTTCTCACAACAGGGAGATAAATGTCAGGTGATCCAAGGAGATAACGGAAGAAAAGCAAAGATAGGCCAAAACCTTCCTATTCCTGTGGATTCCAATTATGCAGCAATAGCAAGAGAGCTCAGAAACAGGGTTTTTAAAGTGTGCAGGAGACTCGGGGAAGGGGGGAGAACCAGACTTTCATTCACGTAGGCATGAGAAAGACTTGAGAAAATCAGGCTAACTCTGGATAGAGTTCCAGTGGTTTTCACAACACAGCTTCAACTCTCACTTTTGTGGTTTCTGATTACTTGATGAAAATTGCTGGAGTAGAGAGTGGCTTAAAAGAATTGTTTACTGAGTAGTACAGCAGTTCCAACAAAAGTAACATCAGTACTATGGAAAAATGCTAAATAAAACAATATTCCTTACTCAGATATTATTGTGAAACTGGAAGATACCCTGCATTTGAAGACATATGTATATCATGCAGATACATCTCCATATCTACATCTACATCTCCATATTGGCCTCCCAAACCTCACTGTGATGAGGCTTTCTTTAAGACCTAGGTTGATTTCACCTTTGAACCTCAGAGGTACCCTGTCACTAACACTTGCCCTACTTTCACATTTTTAACTCTGTCCTAAGTATATAAGGGCTAGGGTCCCAAATGTCTCCATAAACCAGTTTCAAAATTTTAGGTAGCATCTACTGTCTTCTTTCCAGTTTATAATAACCAATGCAGTCAACCACTATAAAACAAAACTACATTTATTTTTGCTGTAGGTGGACATATTTCAAAAAGGATCTTCTGGGACTTCTGGGGGTTTTCAGGTCTATGCAGAAGATGCACTTGTAGTGTGACCAGCTACTGGGGCTATGACTTTTATAACAGAGGGTCTCCTCTGACTTTCCTTCTTTCCTTACATTTCTGGGGAGGTGGGGGATGAAATGTTGCCCATGCCACAAGTGTGTGTGAGAGCAGGATGAAACCCTGATATATTTTGGGCATGAAAGAACCCTGACCAGATGTAGGAGTGGGAGCAATCCAGGAACATAATATACCAACATTTACTGGGACCATGATGAGATTGGGATTGAGCTGTTAGTAATCTAATTTTTATTAAATTATCACCACATGTTCCCCACCCCATCCCTTTTTTGATCTGTTTTCTTTACCTAAAGCATGGAGGAGCACTTTTGGAAGGCCTGACAGGCAATTTGTCCTCCCCTGACTTACTGTAGGTCATGAATGTCTGAAAGTGTGTGACTGTGTATATGTGTATGAGAGAAAGTGAATAACGAGACATTTAATTCCAGTTTTTAAAAATCATGAGGAAGCACTTTTTTTTGTTACAGCATACCTTGTTTTGTAGGATAATGGTGCTTACTGGTGGCCTTCAGGAGCATGGAGCTCCTTGTTTTTGAATGTTTGGTTTTAGGACACCACCACCACCACTGATACCAAAATCCATGGATGCTCAAGTCCCATTATATACAATGGCACAGTAAAATAGTGTAACTTATGTAAAATGGCAAAATCAAGGTTTGCTTTTTGGGAATTTATATATATATTTAAATATTTTTAAGCCGTGGATAGTTGCATCAATGAGTAAAGAATCTATAGATATGGAGGGCTGACTGTATTTGAATAGTTTTGGATTTACTTCAAACACAACTTTGTCTATCTCTCTGTTTATCAATCTGGCAAATTTTCATTTAATTTAATTCAGTACTTGCATAGTGTCTTTGTAGATTTCTTTTGAGTAGCTTTGGGTTTATTTTAAACAGAACATTAGTATCTATCTATCTATCTATCTATCTATCTATCTATCTATCTAGTATCTTGCAGAGTTTTTCTTCCAGTTGCTTCCTGTTAAAAATTAATGTATGCATATGTGTTTCATTTATTATTCAATAATTCCCCAAATACCATTTAATTTACTTGTTCATGTGTGCATTTATGCATCATTTTAAAAAAGCACACATTATTTATTTAATTTATTGATGAGGTTTGGCTGTAGTGTTTAAATTTTACTATAGTTTAACATGTTGTCTTCTGTAATAATGGCTTCTCTGTGCATATGAAATTTGGTGGATGCTGCCAATGATCCTGTATGGTAATGTTAGATTTCCTGAACAATGACAGGATTTATGTAGCCTCCATTTTAATTTTAAGAATGAGTAGAAAGAAATGAAATTGGCACTAATGAAAATGGACTAAGTAAAAGCATGGCTGTGTAATGCTCAACAGGACTGTAAACACCTACCCAACCCAGTTATGAATTTTGTATAATTCCTTCCCATATATGTGCCTCATTTATTTTAATTAGGAACACATTTTAATAAATTCTAATGATGGTTTCAGGAATAAATGCTATTTTGTTTCAGTAAGAAGTAATAGAATGAAACATAAAAAAACAATATAATGTACACCTGGGAATGCACAATATATGTTTCAAAATGTATTTTCAGAAAAACATGCTGGGATAAATTTGCTGAGATTTTTTTTCGCTAGTACAGCCAGGCATTTGATAATGAAGGCATGCCAAATGGTTATCTGTGCTAAAAAAACATTTCAACTCTTTTAATTTATGAACTTTTGAAGCAGCCTAGGTATTAAACCAGGGGTAGGCAATCTTTCCCCTTTAAGGGCTGAGGGACTTCAACTCCCAGAATCCCAGGAGCTATTGGCCAACATAGGGCTATTGGCCAACATGGCTGAGGCTTCTGGGAGCTGAAGTCCCCCGGCCCTTAAAGGGGAAAGGTTGCCTACCCCTGTATTAAACTATGCCATCATGGTCTAGTGGCTTGAGTGCTGGAATAGGCCTCTTTGTTGTTGTTAACTGCCCTCAAGTTGATCTTGACTCATGGTGATCCTATGAATGGGACATCTTCAAGACCCTCTGTTGTCCACTGCTCTGCATAATTCCTGTAAACCCATACCCATGACCTCCTCAGTAGAGTCCATTCATCTAGCATGTGGACTTCCTCTCTTCCTATCTCCCTCCACCTTCCCTAGCACTATTGTTTTTTCCAAAAAGTCCTCTCTTTTTATGATATGTCTGAAGTACAACAGTCTAGTTGGGTCATCTTGGCTTCCAGGGAGGTTTCCAATTTAATCTGCTCTAGGGCCCATTTGTTTGTCCTTTTGGCTGTCCATGGGATCCTCAGCACTCTTCTCCAGCACTACATCTCAAATGAATTTATTTTCTTCCTATCATCTTTCTTAACTGTCCAGCTCTCACATCCAAACATGGGAATAGGGAATATAATGGTTTCTATGATTCTGACTTTTATGCTGAGTTGTATATCTTTGCATTTTAGATTCTCCATGTTCTGTTCTGACAGTAGCTTCTTGTCTTGAGTACAGATTCCTCATCAGGACTATCAGATGTTCTAGCACTCCCATGTCTTTAAGGGCATTCCATAGCTTTTTATGGTCTATACCAGGGATCGGCAACCTACGGCCCACGGGCTGCTCCCGGCCTGCAGACCCCCGCCAACTGCCCCCCGCCGCCCCCTGTTGCCATGCGCTCCCGCTGCCGTGAGTGTCGCGGCCACAATTTTGTTTGCCAAAATGGCGGCCATGAGTGGAGGGCCTTCCAAAATGACATTTGCATCGTTTGCATCATTTTGGAAGGCCCCCCTGTTGCCGCAGCGGGCGAATTCACCCAACGCGGGTGCAGAGGGACCTTTAGAAGGGCCAGGGAAGACCCCTCGTGGCTGCTGCAGGCGAATTCGCCCGCCGCAGCCACTTCCCTGGGCCTTGGAAAGGCCCCCCCTACTGCCACTGTGGGCAAATTTGAGCGGGGGGCTTCCAAAATGGT